GCGGTCACATACCAGATCTTGTGGGAGGTGATCGATGCCATCAATAACACGCCTGCGGTTGGGGCATTTGACTTCCCCCTGACCGAGGAAGGATGCATGCGAAACGCCAACAGATTCAAGGTGAGGCCTAGCGGTGGTCAGTACTGCTGCTGTGAGGGTTATTCTTGGCGGCATTCTTTCGACCAACCGCACGATATCGTTCGTTTTTGTTTTGTACGACTGGCGTTTCCAGCCGTTTTATTAGTTTGGTGAGGCCTATCTATGATACGCAGCCCCCGCCGGTAAAATGCGGGTACAAGTTCGGGTTGTCGTCGTTGTCAGCATGCTTCGAATCGAAAAACACTCCCCGGGTCCCATGTGGTTCGCCAGCTTTTGGCGTCCTTTTTCAAATAGATGTTACTACACTGCCATCAATTGTGTTTGCTAGCCATGTTGGTTCGACCCCGCAACATCTTTCAGCAAGAAAAGATTGTGAAATCAATGTACTGTATTCCCCACCGTGTCTCTAAGATGCCCCGGTACCTTTTTACTGCTGCACCTGACGCGACATCGGGATTAGCAAACAACATCAAGTCTCAGCTTACACGGTATGCGCACCGTTCTTTGCTAGTGATGGCGCCGTCGCCGATGACACCAACCCACACAACGTATCTCTCGACTTATTATTTTGTATCTCCCGGTTCTACTTTCCCGCCGTCGTGTCTGCCGTCTACAAATGCAGGACAAGAGCACCGATGGCATTTTCTCGTGGGTCGTCGCCGCCGTGGATGGTCTGTTCATCAAGGCCAAGGCTCCGCGTGCGAAAGAGACCAAAAATGTCATCGCGTACTACCCTGGCAGCAAGTCCGCGTACGGCATCAACGTGCAAGCGATGTGCACCGCCGACTACCGGTTCTGCGCAATGTCGGCGATCTCTCCAGGCTCGACGAACGACTGGGTGGCATGGACTCGATCTTCCCTCGCCAAGGCCGTCGCCCGCTTGCCCGCCGGATTTCACATCATTGGTGACGCCGCCTACCCCATCGGAGAAAAGCTTCTAACTCCGTACCCTGGGAGGCAACTGCCGGCGGGCGAGGACTCGTTCAACTTCCACCTGAGCCAGCTTCGTGTTAAGATCGAGCAGAGCTTCGGCATCCTGGTTTCGACTTGGGGCATTCTGTGGAGACCTCTCCGCGTGCAGCTCGGAGGACGCGCGGATCTCATCACAGCTCTTTTTCATCTGCACAACTTCCTGCAAGACGAGAAGGTAGCGCCGATCCAGCTTTCAGAGGAGGACTCCCGCAGCGGACTCAACCGGCCGGCCCTCTGTGCCACCCAGCGCACCTTGCCGGATGGCTGGGGAACGGAGCCGGCTCCTTCGAGGAGCGGTGAGACCCCGGCCCGAGCGGCTATCCGCAAGGCCCTGGAGTTAAAGAAGCAGTGGAGGCCGGACTACAACCACCAGAGGAATTCGTAAGGACATATCCAGCTCTGGCGGCATCGCGTGGCGGGCGCACGAAGGGGGAGTGGGGACGGGTCTACATAGGTGCGGATGGAGTCGGATGGGGGGAACGTCGCTACTACGAGCGGGCGAGAGGCGCGGCGGGGGGGGAAGGGGGCGCGGGGGGGGGTGCACGGGGGAGGCTATTCTGGCCGTCGTGGGTACACTAAAAGGGCGGGCCAGGGTTCGGGGCTACATAGGCGGATGGCGGCAGAAGTAGGCTCGCTGCCTCGATGTGGCGGGTCTCGCTTCCACGGTAGGATGAGACGCGCGGGAGGGGGGCACCTCGTTGTGGAGGGCGGAGGGCGCTGGACGGAAGCGTTTTCGGTGTTGGTAAGAGGGTGTGATGTGTGACATGTTGATCCTCGCTGCCATGTTGTGTGAGTGTCGGTGTCAAGCGTTATGGCCATGAGTTCCGGGTACACGTGGTTCATAATGTGCCGGTGCGTCGGTCTTGGTTATGTGTATGTTGGCGCCGGGTTGACATGAATCATGTTCGGACGAGACCGGGGCACGCTAGGTCCAGGAGGCTGCTTGTTTTGGGTAGTGCATGAAAAGCGTGGGCATCTTCGGCTTTTTTTTCCCAGTTAGGATCGTATGAATCGTAAGCGTTGTTCTCGTCGATATTGTATCTGTATTAAATTGTTTGTGCAGGGTTGTTGTTGTACAAGTAGTCTCGATTTGCAGCACGCCAGACGAAACCGCGATGGTCGTAAGAAACTCTTCATGGTATCTATCATACAACGTAAGTTTCTTCGCGTGGGTAAAACATGGCTCCAGGTTGCAAACCTGAAGGTGACGCAAACACACCCACTAAGAATTGGGGTCTTGTCGAGTCCCATTGCCAACACGTTCCCGCGCTTGGAGTGGGAATGCGCGGAGACGGCGTAACTTGCAGGGCTCCAAAATGGTGGACCCCAAAGCGTGCCTGAGAGCTACCGCCAACACCCAACGTAGTATTGGGTGGCAAGAACAAGTCTTGCAAACTGGCAAACACCACCTGACATGCATGTACGCAAGTTGGAGGCGCAGAAACTCGCCCGTGAACCACAACGGTCTCGGTGTTTTTCAACCATGTTACCCTTGATACTCCCTTGTTGCCGCAAGGCATCCTCTCAATTGTTGTTGCCAACCAAACCCACACGTCTTTGCGGAGGCGCACGTATTCTCCATGGCGATGCTAAGAAAAAACGAAGACGTTGACTCAACCATGCGCAAAAAAAAAACACTAGCCCCCCCC